AAGTGCTTATTCAGTTGCTGTGCTCATTACATGCATGTTTCATTTCTCCTAGTCCAGGACTGAAAACACAAGCACTTCATCAGCATCCCAGCTTCAGGAGGTTTCTAAGGACAGATCTACTAGCCTCTTTCCAAAAGGCCAGATTCCAAGTTAGATGTCCCAATTATTCCCAGGTTGCTACTTAGCCAAATGAATTCCTAAAGCATCAGACTGTTCACTGGACAGTTAGACACTGTGTCAACTGTATTAGATTACAAAGTTGTAATCTTGCCATTTGTTTACTTATACAGTATCATTTTGTGTTAATGGTTATTTCATTTTGTTTTTTGAAATTTTTTTTATTAAATTTTGTTGTATTTCATACAGAATATCTCAAACAATCTGAATCATCTTTATAGCCCAGTCCCCACTAGCACCCTCCCATAGGTCCCCTGACTGGAACCTATATACTCTGTCCTGGGTGTTAACACTCACTGTGTCAAGTCAATGTCCCCAGACGTTCCCCAGTGCAGGTCCCTCCACTTGCGGTCTAGTCAAATCCCTCTCATCTATCTATCCAAACACCTATCATTTTCTTTTCTTTTTTTAACAGAGCACAGGGTGGGAGTTTATTTACAGAGGAGTGTGTACTCCCCATTTATGGCTGCACTGGAAAGTCCACACTCAAATACAGATCCTGTGACTTCCCGACAGCTGCGAAAAATGGTGAGAGAGGGGCCTCCTGGTGTTCTCAGCTTATATGTCCTTGGCCCTTCCCCCACATGCAGCTAACATTGACTGATAGGGTGGGAGGGGTAACAGACTCTGCCCTCGATTCCTTGATGAGCATGGGAAGGAGGTGTGACTATGGCTTGCTGGCATAGTGGTCAGAGGACACTTCCAGTTAACACTCCACCCCTTCCTCCAGCTCTTACATTCTTTCCACCAACCTCTTCCGAAAAAGTCCCTGAGCCTTGGAGGGCGTGGTAGGTGGGGGATGATCTTCCTCCTATTGTGGCAAGGCACTGAACTTTTGGGTCTCTGAACTGTCAGTTTTCCATGGGCTGTTGGCCCATTTCAGTGGGATTCCAACTACCTATCATAGGGCAGAGGTCTGCTGTGGGGTTGTGAGAGGAGCCTCACATAATCCAAGGCATTTAATTTGTTTTTTTGGTCTTTTTGAGACAGGGTCTCTTTGTAGCCCCAGCTGTCCTGGAACTCACTATGTAGACCAGGCTGGCCTCGAACTCACAAAGATCTGCCTGCCTCTGCCTCCCGAGTGCTGGGATCAAAGGTGTGTGCCACCACATCCAGCGGCATTTAAATTTTAACCCATCTAAAAATGTATCCTCCTTTGGCTCTGCAGAACCCTACTCACTGTCAATCACACTTCACAATGGCCTCCTGGTTGAACTGCTCAGACCCCAGATGGTGGGGTTTGATGCTCTGATTTGTTCCTCTTTCCACATCCAACCCATTTCTAGATCTTGTGAGCCACACTGTAAAAAATGCATCCTGAGGCTGGAAGGTTGAGGCAAGAGGATTACAAGTTCAAGGTCAGCCTGGGCTCCCTTGCCAGTTTAAGACCAGAGTTGGTTGTCTCATCAAATGAAAATGATGGTAACAACAAATGACCCCTTGAATACTACAACTTTTAGCTACCTCTCCCTGTACTCTTTTGCTCCAAGTCACTGTGTGTTGCTAGGGGACTATGATAACCTTGGAAACCTTGTTTTCAGTCTTTTCTTATTTCACCTAGAAGTCAGCCAGAGAGTATGTCTGGCTGCCCACCAGGATCACTTAGATAGCTATCAGAGAAGTGATGCCTGGTCCCACATTGTTCTTTTATCTGAGGTACAATCTGGGGAACAGGATTTCTTTTTTAAAGACTCCTGTTCTCTGTGGAGGTCACATACAAGGTTATACACAACTTGGGCCTGATTTTCTCTCTGGCCCCATTTCCTACTGTTCCTCCGGCTCCCCATCATCTAGCCCACATTTTCCCCGGAGTCTTTGATGACTCCAGCATATCCTTGTCTGTGGAACTCTGCACCTGCTCTTTATTCTTCCTTAACACTCATGTTTCCATGATTTACCCTTCATCTCACCGAGACTCCCTATTTAGATATTTCCACAAGGATCCCCAGCTGGCCTGGGACTTACTATGTAGACCAGGCTGGCCTTGATCTCACAGAGATCCACCCCTGCCCTGAGTGCTGGGTTTAAAGGCATATGCCACCACACCTGGCCCAATTACTCTTTGTAAAAGAGAGTATCTCTTATCTCTACAAACTTACCTTGTGTTATTACTATTCTTATTACTATTATTTATTATTATTATTATTGTTGAGGTATGGCCTCCCTATATTGGCCTAGCTGGCCTCAGCGCCTAGACTAAAGCAATCCTCCTTCCTCTGTCTTCCAAGTAGCTGGGAATGTTGCATATGGTGCACAGCTGCTTAATTACATCTATAGCATTTACCACAGTACCTGACAGTACATAGTACAGTGCATTCCTAAGTAACCTCACTGAGAGTATAGAACATTTTCCCTCTCACTACTGCACCCCCAGCTCCTAGAATTGGAACTGGCACATAGCAGTTGCTCCAAAATTACTTGATAAATTGCTAAAAGTTTTTTAGGAGAAAGGATGGGGCAGGGAGAGCACTCCTCACTTTATTACTTGTGACTTCTTTTTTTGTTTTCTTTTTCTTTCTTTTTTTTGGGGGGGGGGGTCTTTTTTGAGACAAGGTTTCCCAATAGCCGCAGCTGGCCTGGATTCACTAATGGAGACCAGGGTGGCCTTGAACTCACAGAAATCTGTCTGCCTCTGCCTCCCGAGTGCTGGAATTAAAGGCGTGCACCACCATGCCCGGCTCTCATTTTTCTTTTTGTTGTTTTTTTTTTATTTGTTTTTTTTTTGTTTGTTTGTTTGTTTTGAGAGGTATGTATAGCCGTGGCTGGCCTGAAAGTTGTTATGTAGAAGACGTTGGCCTCGAACTCACAGAGCTCCATCTGCCTCTACCTCCTGAGTGCCACCACCTTGCACTTGTGACTACTTTTTAAAAAACATTTTCTCATGGTGGCACATGCCTTTAATCCCAGCACTCTGGAGGCAGGGGCAGGTGGATCTCTGTGAGATTGAAATCAGCCTGATCTGCATAGCAAGTTCCAGGTCAGCTGTGGCTACAGGGAGACCCTTCCTCAAACAAATAACAACAACAACAAAAAAACCCCCACAAAACATTTTCTTTCAGGCCAGGGAGATGCTCAGCAGGTAAGGTGCTTGCTGTGGAAGCCTGCCCATCTGAGTTCTATCCCAGGAGCCCAGAAGCTAAAGGGTCAGCTAGCCTGGAGTACACTGCATAGCACAAACAACAGGAGAGACCCACCTCAACAAGGTGCATAGTGGACTGACTCTGGAAAGTTGTCCTCTGACCTCCACTGGGGCGTCAGCATGTTTTCACTCATACATACACATGAGCAACATAAATAATTTAAAAAAAAATATTTTTCTCACTTGGAAGATGGTTCTTTCTATATTATGCATGTCAATGTGAAGTTCTTGATTTTTAGTTATGTTTGTGTGTATATGTATGTAGGTATGTGCGTATGCATGCATGTGGGCATGCGCATACCACAGTGTGCATGCATGTGGAGGTCAGAGAACAACTTGTCTTTCTCCCTCCAACATTGGGGATTCAAGGGATTGAACTCAGGATATCGGCCTTGATGGCAAACCCTTTACCCACTGAACCATCTTGCCTGCCCCAAATTCTGGATTTTCAGGTAAATGTTGTCCAAGAGCAATCAAACATTGTGGCAAGTCGTGATTATGCACAAGTTATCTATTGGTGTGTGTGGGGGGGGATTATATTAAAACAAACTGAAAATGCACTATCTCACTTTAAAGCGATTTGTAAAGTGTATTATGTATAGGTAATTGGTATAGTGCAGCCTTTGATTTCAAGTTTTAAACTCGATTTTACTATAAAAAATGGCATATTGTCTTTTTTTCTAAGTCTCTAAACCAGAATAGGACAATAATATGCCGCGAACAATCACTTTTTTATTTGTTTTTTACAGGGTCACCCCAACCCTAGCACCGCCCCCCCGACTCACTAAGAAGCCCAGGCTGGCCTCTATGTCACAGAGATCCCCCTGCCTCTGCCTTCAAGGGCTGGGATTAAAGGCATGCGCCACCAAGCCCGGCATAAGAACACTTATTTTCTTAAAACTTTATGTGTACGAGTGTATTGCCTGCATGCATGTAAGTGCACCAATATCGTGGAAGGCCTGCGGAGGTCAGAAGAGGGAATCGGATTCCTTGGAACTGGAGTTACAGACAAGTTGTTAGCTGCCACGTGGGTGCTGGGAATCGAACCCAGATCCTCTCCAAGAGCAGCCAGTACTCTTTGTCATCTCTCCATCCCGAGAACAATCCCTTTTTTATTTTTTGAGATAAGGTCTCCCTGTAGCCCCAGCTGTCCTGGAACGCACCATGTAGGCCAGGCTGGCCTTGAACTCACAGAGATCCTCCAGCCTCTGCCTCCCAAATGCTGGGATTAAAGGCGTGCGCCAAGCCTCTTTTTAAGACGCAATTTAAGCTACGGGGTAAGAGGTTGGTTAGAGTCAAATGATGCGCTTAGAGACACCTAATGTCTGGGCACTAGTTTTGTCATCTTAGTATGGCTGTAAATCACAGTTTTCAGCAAGACGCAGAAAACGACAGTATTTGTTCCACACTGAACTATTGACATGTGATAAGCCTTCACTAGCCTGTCAAAGCAGGGTCACTGCTCATCCTGGCGCCCCGCCCCCGACGCAGGGGCCCGCAGCCCGGTGCCAGTTCCTGGGTGGTGCGGCGGCGCGCGGGGCGGGGCTCCAGGCGCGCGCACGGCGGCTCCAGGTTCGCGCGGCCCCGACGCCGACGCCAAGGACGCAGAGACGGCGAGACGCGCAGACAGGGGCGTGTGCGGAGGCGCGCAAGGCCAATCCGGCAGGAGACATCACGCGCTCCCGAGAGTCTCAGGATTTCTCGCGACAGGTTAGTTCAGGCTCTCCGGAAGTGGCTCCGGAAGGAGCGTGCCTGCCTTCCTGCTCCGGACCAGCGCAGCGTGCACAGCTTCCGACACCATGCAGTCCGACGACGTGAGTTCCCCGCCGCTGCCCTGTGAGGGCAGCCGGTTCTCGTCCCCTCCGCTACGTCTCGCCCGGGGTGCTCCCGGGTGCGGGGCTTCAGCGCCCCTTCCGCGGGCCCGCCTGTCTCCAGCCGCCCCCCACCAGGGCTGGACCCCGCCGCTCGGCCCACAGGACCGACTCAGCCCCCGATCCGGACGGCCTTTGCGGGCTGCTCGCCGAATGGTCCCTCGGGACTCGGGAGGCAGAGGCGTGCGGAGTTCGGAAGGTCGAGGGTCCTTTTCCTGCGCACGTCGCTTCTTGGTCTCCTTTTCCTGTCGTGGGCTTCTCTTTACCTTTGCTCCTGTCTGCCCAATTTCGGGAGCATCCTGCATTCGTCTGTTTAGTACTTATCAGTACCACGAGTGTGTGCATTTTCTAGTTATCGGGGATTTGATTGTTAGTAAGCCAGACATAAAGCCTCTAGGGATGGAGGATAACCAAATGAAACACTTGCACGTTAAACTGTGCTATGAAAGATCAGGACTAATGAGAAGACCGTAATTAGGAGAGACCAGATAGGGCGGGTCAGTAAAGGTTTCTCCAAACAGGTTTGAACTAAGACCAAACAGGTGAGACTGAGTCAGCCTTTGAGGGAGGGCGGGCAAAGCACGCCAGAGGTAGGAACAGCGAATACAGGACTGGAGGAGAGGAGGACCTGCACTGCACCACTGGGACTTGTTGCAGGAATGAGAGGATGAGAGGCGGTAAGGAATTGCATATGCTTCCCCAGGCACGATCAGAAGAATTTTGTAGGAAATGCTTTTAGTCTTTGAATAGGCAGTGGCATCTGATACACCTTTGTGAAAAGCTGTCTACTAGCTGCCGCGAAAAGGGCTTTTGAAGGGAAGAAAGTGAAAGCCAGGATGCTAGGATAAGGAGATGAAGCGGGAACTTAAGATCTAGGACTGTCGTCACAACACCCAGTGATGGTTTGAGTTAATGGAGTCCTAGGCAGTTTTATTTACTGAAATGGGGAAGATGGAGAAAGATTGTGGCATTATTGTAAGGGGTGTAGAATAGAGTTACATTTGGATGCAGTAATAGTTGTGAGCCTTTTAGAGATGCCTGGTGGGTGGCTGGATGTAGACAAATCTGGTGCTCAGGGAAGAGGGCTGACCAAATGTTTATAAAGCCACAAGCCTAATTGCTCTAAAACCTTTCTTGGTTCATTCAAAGGCCCTTATGTTATTACACACCTGCATGTGTTAGGTTGACTGCTACTTACTGATGCATAACTCGATAACATAACGAGTGATGATGTCAGGACATGGAGATGCCAGTGCCTTTGCAAAGTAAAGTACTTATTAAATACTAAATGAATAAAGAACACATTAGTTTTCAGCAGTGGATAATGAATACATGTAAAAAAGGAGTTACAAACTATGTTTAATATGCTCTTATTTCGTTAAAAACATACACAGGGCATACGACAGATTGTAGAATGTACACTGAGTAGTAAGGCTGTGGTTATCACTAATTTGCATTTAGTTTTTCTGCAAGAGTGTATTACTGTGTAAAGAAAACAATGACAGTGTTTTTCTTTTGTCTCTTTCATCTTTCTCTCTCCAGTGGTGTTGGAAATTGAACTGAGGGCCTTGCACATGCTGGGCGTGAACTCTACCACTGAGCTACATTTCCAGCCCTTATAGCATTGTCCTTTTTGAATTTTACTGGCATCTGTTAGGCCAGAGCTTTCCCTTTGTCTTTCAGGTTATCTGGAATACACTAGGAAACAAGCAATTTTGCTCCTTCAAAATAAGGTGAGTGTAGATTGTAGCCTAGACTAAATGCATTTAGTTGCCCTCCTTGTTATAAACCTTGTTTCTTTCCTCCCATCTTAGAACCAAGACTCAGGGCTTTTGCAGAAATGAATACAGCCTGACTGGACTGTGCAATCGCTCATCCTGTCCCCTGGCAAATAGTCAGTATGCTACAATCAGAGAAGAGAAAGGTAATGCCTTAGTTTAAACTTCTATGAGTACTTCTCAACAGCTTTTAAAAGACATCTTTAGTCTCTATGTAAATAACACTAATATTAATCCTATCCTGCAGGACAATGCTACCTGTATATGAAAGTTATAGAACGAGCGGCTTTTCCTAGGCGCCTCTGGGAACGGGTAAGACTGTGACAGTGCAGAGACCCATGGCCAAGAGCAGAAGTGCCACATGCTTTTCCCTCTCCCTTGGCCATCTTTGAAGCCATCTTCACTAGGCCCCATATAAGGACTGGCATTAAAAACCTAACCTTTTCCCCTCATGCTTCCTTTTCTATTTCCTAGGTCCGGCTTAGTAAAAACTATGAGAAAGCACTAGAACAAATAGATGAGAATTTAATTTACTGGCCCCGCTTCATTCGACACAAATGTAAGCAGAGATTTACCAAGATAACCCAGTATCTAATTCGAATTAGAAAGCTTACACTAAAGCGACGGTAAGGATTTGGATCATTCGTTCATTTATTTTGAACTTTGTTGTTTTTTCCTGGACCATGTTGTGAAGCCAAGGATGTATAGCTTCACGTTTTCTAGGAAATTCAAAAGATTTTTTATCCTAAGAAACTATAGGCTAAAGATAGGCCCAGTTCCAAAGGCCAAAAACGTCAAAAATATTTGGGAGCTTTTATCTAATCCTTAGAAGATTTTAGGGTTACCTCTTCAGAAAAGGGAATGTTAGTGGAGCAAAAAGCCCCATTAGAAAAAATAAAGAAGAAAGAGTACATGAAGTTTTCAGAAAAAAGTGACAGAGAGATATGGGAGGAGTTGGAGGGGAGGGAGTGGGCATGGACTTAATCAAAACACCTTATATGCGTGTATGAAATTCTCAATAATTTATTTTTTTAAAAAAAGATAGGCCCAAAGGTTTGGGGGGTTTATTTTTTAGGATTTTAAAACAGAAAGAAAAAAAAAAAAAGAAAAGATAATCCTGCCTGAAAATTCTCTGGGTTCCTGGGGGAAGCTGAACATGAACGACTTGAAAATTATCTAAAAACTATGTTTAACAGGAATGTGAGAACTTTGGAGCTATCAAGGACTACTTTTAAATAACATGTGGACTGAGCAGAGGCAGGAGGCTGTCTGAGAGATCAAGGCCAGCCTGGTACACATAGCAAGTTCCAGGCCAGCGTCTTCAAAAATAAGTAAATAAATGACATAAAACCCATAGGATGAATAGAATACCTTCTGAAATAGTGCTGGACTCTAAGGCTTTTTCATTGAGCTCTTGTTTTGTTGATGATGTGACCCTTTTTCAGAAAACGCCTTTTTCTTAGCTCAATGAAGCATTAATCTTATTGTGATGAACCTAAGTAAAGCAGAAATAACCACATTAAAATATGTTAAACTGTCTGATTTGGAGTATGGGAATTGAGGCAGGGTCTCACTCTGTAGGTCCAGGCTGGCCCAGAACCTGTGTCCTCCACCTCACTGAATCTTCTGCCTCAAGTGTCTCGGTGCTAGAATTACAGTCCTGAGCCACATCCTGGCTCCTGACAGTTCATACCAGGTACTTACTGGAGATAAAACCTAGGGCCTTGCATATGCTAGGCACAGATCTGTCATTGAGCTAAACTGCCAACTGTTAGAAATTGAGTAGTAGTATCTTGCTGTATTGAGCCAAGCCACACACAAAGACATTCGAATGCTTTTACCTGTTAAATGAATTTGAGGTTTCTAATAATGTATTTGATTTTTCTAGGAAGAAGCTTGTCCCTTTGAGTCAGAAGGTTGAACGAAGAGAGAAGAGAAGAGAGGTAAGGCTGTTCTGGTATTTGCATAGCTTCTGTCCTTTCATGTGAGAAAGGAACAGGGTGCATGAGAGTCAATAGCTAGCTTCCCATGAGTGAGATTTTTCTTCATATCTTAATATTGTTGAGCATGGTGGCACATGCCTTTAATCCCAGTACTGGGAAGCAGAGGCAAGCATATGTCTGAGATTGAGGCCAGCCTGTTCTACATAGCGAATTCTACGCCAGTGGCTACAGGAACTGACTACAGGCTAGGCTAAAAATGGATTGGGGTGTGGGTGGGTGTGGTGTAGTGTGGTGTGGTATGGGTGTGTGTGTGTCTGAGAGAGAGATGGAGAACAGGGGGCCAAAACGTCTTAAGAGATCTACAACTCCATGTCTGAACTTCTTGAAGACAAGCATTTCACAGTTCAGAATTTTGACATTGCCTGCCTCTTACATTACGTTCAGCAGAGTCTAAACATTGTCTTTTAAGTAGCCTTATGTCTGTTTTGGTCATGTTTAGTTGTATGATTTAGAGTTTTGTTTTTCATTTTGAAATTGCAGATACAGAACTCTGGGATTAAACTGCTCTGTGGGCAGTTTTGTTAAGGATGGTAAAGCTGTTCTACTCCAGAATTTCCCACCCTTGTCCAGGGAGCAGTCTGCCTGTTCATGTTATTGATACTTCAGATTCAGGCTGAAGCTCTTAGGCTTGAGGACCTCACAGAGATCCACTGACTCTGCCTCCCAAGGGCTGGGGTTAAAAGCCTGTGCCACCACACCTGATGCCATTTTTGTCATGTCCTTTTAAGGAACACCTTGAATAGTCTTTGATGCTTTTGTTTCCCACTAATCACATGGGAATTTCAGATCTCAAACCTATTATATCATTAGTGTCCATACACTTTTGTTGTTTATGACACAGTCTCCCTATGTAACCCAAGTATATACGTGCCACAACACCCAGCACTTGGGAGGCAGAGGTAGGCAGATCTTTGCAGCCTGGTCTACATAGTGAGTTCCAGGCCAGCTGGGGTTATAGGGCAACCCTGTCTCAAAAAGACCAAAAAAGAAAAATATTTCTCAAACTATTAAAATACTTTAGTTTACCATAATTTTTTTTTGTATCTGTTAAATTATGTACTACAGATTTTCTTCCTATATCTCAGTAGATAATCCTTAAGGCATGAGCATACTACTTTGGAGAAAAATATGAATGTTCTTTACACTTTTTGTGAGCTTGGGTATTGAACCCAAGGGCCTAGGTACTCTGAGGAGTACTCCCCCATAGAGCTCCATCCCCCATTTCCCAGTGTAGTCATGTCCCAGCTTCTGACATCCCATACACTGCTTGTTCTAATACAACTTTCCTGAAAGACTTCAGATTAATACAGACTTTTAGACTGGACTGGAGAGATCAACTAGAGTTAAGGGTTTTTCCTTGGAGTTGGGGTGTCAATGATGTCATTTAAATACATGATGTATTTCAGTCATATTCAACCATTATGCCCTCTTACCCCTCCTCATCCCCTTCCTCTTTCCAATTTAGCATTTACTGACTTTCTTTATTGAAGTTTTTAAATTTTTTTAGCTTGTGTGTAGGGTGCACATGTTCATGGCCTGGCATGCATGAGGTGGTCGGGGGACAACCTTGTGTAACAGTCCTCAGGCTCCCACGGGCCTAGAACTTGGCCTATAGAGGCCAGGAACTGGCCCACCAGCTTCCAGGGTTCACCTGTTTCCTTTCTTGCCATTGCTGTGACTACCGGGCACCAACCATACCCAGCTTCTTACATGGGTTCTGGGGCTCCAAACTCAGGTCCTCACACTTGCAAGACAAGCACTTGACCATCTCCCCAGCTCATTTGACAATAAAAAATAATTTTTTATATATTTTATTACTTTTATGTGTGTGCGTATATTGCCTGCATGTATGTGAGTGCACCTGTGTTGTGCAATGCCGTGGAGGTCAGAAGAGGATGTCGGATCCTCTGGAACTGGAGTTACAGACAGTTGTTAGCTGCCGTGTGGGTGCTGGGAATCGCACCCAGGTCCTCTGCAAGAGCAGTCTGTGCTCTTAACCACTGAACCATTTCTCCAGCCCCAACTTTTTTTTTTTAAACTCAAATTTATTATTTGTGTGTTGAAGTTAGAGGACAACTTTGAACCATGTGGGTCCTGGGGATCGAACTTGTCAGGCTTAGTGGTTAGCACTTTATCACAAGCCCTCCTACTATGTGTGAAGTATATATTTTTATGTAAATTATATATCACAGGAATTTTTTAATTAGGAGATTGTCAAGGTTTGAGAAGGGAAGAAAAATACCTGGTTAGAAAGGCAAAAGCCTCAGTTAGAGCATGAGAATAGGAAATAATCACATCTTACTAAAATTTGGTACTTAACACTTCTACAGCTAAAAAAATGAGTACTAATGAAACGAACTTGTTCTTTTTCTTATAGGAAAAAGCATTAATAGCTGCTCAGCTGGACAATGCCATTGAGAAGGAATTACTGGAGAGATTGAAACAAGATACGGTGAGATTCAATTGTATCTTTTTAAGGATAACATCATGCTAGGATATATTGGAAAATGCATTTTTTTTTAAACATGTTACAAATAACCTCATATAAGACAGGCTTCTGGGACTTCCCTGTTGGCCATCATTCCTAATTCTCCCAAGTTTAGTAGTTCCATACATACCTCAGTGTGAACACCTTATAAAAGTCACCAGTTTTGAGAAGAGTCCCATGTATCCCAGGCTGGCCTTGAACTCATGATGTAGTCAAAGATGACTTTCCCATGCTGGGATCACAGGCATGTACTACCATATCAAGTGTATGTGGTGCTGGGGTCTGAACCCAGGGCTTCATATATGCTGCAAGCACTTTACCAACTGAGCTCCCTTCCTAGTACCGTGGCCATGGGGTTCTTCTTTCCCTGCATGTTATTCTGATCTTTGAAGATTCATCAAAATGCCATCACTACTCAGCCTTTTGACTAAGATTTAAGAGTCATTTATAAAGATATGATTAAAACATGCTTTATTATTATTTCCCCTTTTAAGCAAAATTACATGTGTTCCAAAGCCATGTGGGTTCATAAACTACTAAGTGTGAAATCACTTGGTTCTCTCCTCCATAGAAGCTACCACTGATTATTTAAATGTCCAAAACAGGCTACACTGCTGAGTCTAGGCTGGGAAACAGTACAGAAAATTTCTCATTTAGTCCCTGAGGACAGAGGACAAAATTAAGATGTTTGTAGAACAGTATGCTGGAGAGATGGCTCAGCAGGTAAGAGCAGTTGTTCTTGCACAAGACCCAGGTTTGGCTCCCAACAGCTCAAAACTGTTACTTCAGTCCCAGAGGATCTTCCGTCGTCCTCTGGCACACACAGGGCACACACAGGATACACATACATGCAGGCAAAACACACACGTAAGAAAGTATATTTCTCAAACATAAAGGCATTTTGTTTGCTCTTCAGTATGGCGACATCTACAACTTCCCCATTCATGCCTTCGACAAGGCCCTGGAAAAACAGGAGGCAGAGGGTGACTCTTCAGATGACGAAGAAAAAGATGATGAGGAAGATGAAGATGAGGTGAGTCTGGTTTTGTTCTGACAAGCAGGAACCTACAGAACCAGACACGGTTTCATGCAGTTGAGACACAGCATTATCTCCAGGCCCTTTTTTGTTATAAGATTAAGTTTTTAAAAATAGAAGGCCAGAAGGGTGCTAGATCCCCTGAAGTGGGAGTCACAAGCAGTTGTGTCCTCCTGGCAGTGGGTGATGGGAACCAAGCTCAGGTCCTCTGGAAAAGTATGAGGTGCTCTTAATCACTAAGCTGCTTCTCCAAATTAAGCTTTCTTAAGGTCAGCCCTTGATACCAATGGGGGATTGGTTCCAGGACCCCTGAAGAAACCAAAGACTAATAAAGCCCAAGTTTCCTTCATAAGTAGTGGTGGTATATTTGCACACAACTCACACACCCTCCTGTAGGGTTCTGATCATCTATCTCCAGGCTGCTTTTAGTCCCCAGCATAAAGTAGATGCTTTGGGAAATGGTTGTCTTGCTGTACTACAGAGCAGGGCCAACTGGGTGCTGCATGCAGTTATGTAGAAGGCCTCAAAATTGTATGCTGAAATGTTAGTGATGGTTTCCTGGGTTGTAAGATTCAGTGTTTGTGTTCGACTTTTTGGCTTGTTTTATTATTTTAATATCTTTTGTAATTTAATAGCCCACTGATTCCAATGTGTGCTGTCCCATACACTTCTGGGTCCATTCATTGGAGTCCAGCCAGACCACTGTCCTCAAATACAGGACATATCAGGTACTTACTGATAAAGAGACACAACACTTGATCTTAGTCAAAAGGCTGAGAAGCAGTTACTCATTTTGATTCTTATTGAAGGTAAGGTTTAAGCTATCTGATAACCCTATTTTTTCTTTTTCTAGATTTTTGGTGGCTGATCTGTTATTTATGCACTTGTTATCAAAAGTAAAAGCAAGATTTGTAACCGCATCTTTATTATGTATTTTGAACCTAGTAACTTTTATTTCAGGATGTGGGACAAAGAGAGTTTGTGGAAGATGATGAGGTAGATGAGAGTGACCTGAGTGATTTTGAGGTGAGTAAACACTGATGATTTGAGAAAAAAAAAAAGAATCCTGGCCCACAGCAAAAAAGGGGGTGAGCAGCAGAATTTCTAAACTAAACCAAGCAGATAAGCTCCCTAGTTTCTGAATAGTGCAAGGCTTTCCCTATTTGACATTTTCTTTTCCCACTTTAGGATATGGACAAGCTAGGTGCCAGCAGTGATGAAGGTCAGGATGATGAGTCCTCCAGTGAAGAAGACGAAGAAGAAAAGGCCCTTAGTGCAAAACACAAAGGCAAAGCTCCCCTGAAACGACCTTGGCAGAGAAAAGGAGGTGCCTATGTGGAAATTGAGTATGAGCAGGAAACAGAGCCCACAGCCAAGGCCAAGGCCACATGATTCCAACTTCATGTTTACTCTGCACTTCTTCCTTGTAACAGTCACACCTCCAATTTTGTTCTTTAGTGTTAGATTTCATATGGTATTTATATTGTTAATATTTATGTCACTTAAGTTGGGACAAGAAATCTGGAGTGGAAAAGCCCTCAGCTCTAAAGGTTATTTTTATACATGTGTTATAACAGCTTGGGCCCAGAAGCTTAGCAGATGAGTTCCTGAATGTGGGTGTTAAATATTTCTAAAATGTTTAAGACAAAATCTTCCCTGCCCCGTTTTTACTTAGAAGTGGCATGACTTTAATTTTTCATTTCCCTTATTCTTAAGAGGGCAAACTCAAGGAAAGGAAAAAAGAGTTCCAACTTACAGTGTTCATATAAACCAGCTCTGTTCACGTCTCCATCCATACAATCTGAGACAGGAAGGCCATCCTTCCCTTCCAGGGCAGCATCTAAGTCCCACTGCAGGGAGCACCTGCAGAAGCTGCCTGCACTTTTCTGACACAGCTCACCACCATGCTGTCTTCACATGATAGGACAATTCTGGCCAAAAGACTCTGAAACATGAAACCAAATAGGCATTAATTTTTGCAAAAATGCATTTCCCTTTTACATTTGCTCAAAGGAGAGTTTAGGGGAACATTTCCCCATCAGAGCAGATATTAAGAAATGTTCCGTGCTTTTAAGTACCCACTGGCTTTGGAATAGCAGTTTCTGTCTCGCCAAGGCAAACCAAGCTGGACCTAGGGTGCGAAAACTATCCAAGAGTATAAAGGGCTATATGATGAAATTGAATAAACTAAAGACCAGCATACCCTACTCTACATCTTGTGCTCTTTTAGTCTTTTAGAAATTTCTAATGGTACTAAACACATATAAATGCATACATAGCTATTATAAACTATGGCCTGTCTTCAGAGTTTTGTGGCATATAAAACCATATGGAAAAATGTGAGCTGGGGAAGATAGTTCAGTTGGGCAACACCAGAATTTAGTCCCCAGAACCCAGGTAAAAAGCCCTGTGAGCACACATGGGGGGGCGGGGGGGGGGGCAGCTGGCTCAGCAGCCAGCCAAACATACTGTGTAAGTGTATCAAGTTGGTGGTGTCTGACCCACACACACAAGATGGAAAAATGAGCTGCCGACCAGCCCCACATAGAACATTTCTGGTGTCATCTGGCATCTCAGCTACAGTATTACTCCTTGGTGATGTGCAGCCTTGGTATTTTGAGCTTTGTTGTTACTGTTTTAAATTCAAAGAGTAGAACAAAACTTAAGAGTGCCTTGTTAGCACAGTAGGTAGTACATCAGCCTCAAAATAGAATTTGCCAATGACAGCTGTTCCCCTTGTGCTCTAAAGGGTTTTGTGCAGTACTGAGTTAAGAGGAGCTGAAGGTAGAGCTCAGTCCTGGAGGGTACACCTAGCATGTGGAAAGCTCTGGGTTTAATCAGCCAAAAATACATAGATAAGTAGAATAAGGTGTTGAGCAAACTCTCAAAGACCAGAGGGGGCACAGATGGGAACCTAACCCCTTGGCCAGGTATACAAGTAATAATTTACAGTCATAGAATTGTCTAAGAAGTCTTACTTTTACTTGTCCTTGAGAACAGTGGTCTAGGAGAATCAGGCAGTCTGTGGCCTCTTGGAGCAGGGCATTCTTAGTGGAGTCAGGTGTGAGGCTCATGTCCCTCGCTACATCACATATGAGTTTCAGGAGAGCCTTCAGCAAGACCACAAGTCTGCAGGAAATTCTGGAAGCAATGAAAAAAAAAAATTGTTCATATTCCAAACTGGGAAATGGAAATGGACTATTCAAGTCAGACTGGTGGAGAGCCTCTTATTTCAGACTTGGAGAAAGTGAAGTTGGCGCTGTTAAGATACCACAGAGTTGCAAACAGAACCAAACACTAGACTGCTGATTTCTCAACCTCACATTTCCTGTTATTTCTATAACATGCTGCCTGTATACACAGACACACTGACTTGTTCAAGAATACTGTTTCTGGGCTGGTAGCTCACAATATCTATAACTCAGTTTCTTTGGAGCTCTGTATACCTTGCACTCATGAGTACACTTAGGTACATACATGCAAAACACTCATATAAGTAAAAAGTGCTTTGTTTCCTTCTGGAAATTTGATTCTATTCTAAAGAAACAGTCCCTTTCTGGGCTGAGAATGAGGGGGAACCAAGATTTCTCTATTCAAGGCCCTATACTTTTGACCAGACACAGGACATGGGCCTGTACCTTTATGCCTGGATATTAAGAATACAGTGAGGTGCTGGAGAGGTGAGATGGTTCAGTGGTTAAGATCACTCCTCCTGCAGAGGACCCAGATTCAGTTCCCAGCATTCACATGGCAGCTCACAACCATTTGTAACTCCAGTCCCAGGGGATGTGACATGTCTAGAGCCACTGCAGGCACCAGGCATACAAATGGTGCATGTGCATATATGCAGGCAAAACACTCAAACACATATAGGCTAAGTGTAGTGGTTTATAGCCCCAGTACTAGGGATACTGAAGCAGGAGGATCGAGAACTTGAGGCCAGCCTGTGCTACACAGTGAAGCCTTGTCTTGGAGAAAGAAAGAAGGGTGACTGACTTAAGTGTCAATGTGAATTCTCAGTCATTTCAGATCCTAGGTAAGTATTAAGCCCAGCCTAGCCTATTCTGATTAACTGGTTTTCTCTAATAACTCATCCTCTTGATGAACGAAGGAGATGGTTACATAACATTCTGATTGTACTTAATGCTGAGTTGTAGGCTTTTAACAGTTTTTAAATAAACCTTAACGAAAGGCAGAAATAACTGAAAATATGTCTTATAAACCATATTTTTAGATAGAAATGACTGGTAAAAAAGTTTCCATCCCATCATCTCAAAAATGTTTTCCTATGGCACAAGCCTCTCAGTGATTCACTACAGTCTGCTCTGATCACTGCTGACAGACACACGAGCTCCTTTTCCAACTGTCAAGGCCTGATTAATTCATGACCTGAAGCTTTGCAGAGGATACCAGATATTCTTGGAAGACCAAGAATTGGAGGAAGAATGCTTCCACCTGGGGACTTTCCCTGCTCTGTGCTTCTGTGGTCTGAGTTGACAGGCTATGCTTCCCTGATTAACAGTAGTCTAGGAAACATAACCAAAGAGTTCTGTTTCAGTTTATGGGCACCGGAGTTTCTAAGCACTGATAGCTTGGTTTCTATATAGAAATAATAAATTCTAGTAGTTGCTAAGAGTAATCACAAACAGTACTCTTTATATCTAAGACATTATAAATATTATGTAGCTGAATCTAAGATACTGTAAACTTTATGTGAGTTTCGGTTGATGAAGTAATGTATTGGTTGGTACAGTAATGTATCCTTGGTTATTCCTTAGTTACTTCAGATCTGCTTTCTATATAAGCTTGCTTAAGTTCACAATAAACATGCACTGGTACACTAGCCTTGCATCCCCTGCATCCTGATTTCTCCTGCACCTATCCCTTGGGGTCCGAACTGTGGTCACTGCACCATGACATCCAACCTCCCCACATCTCCATCTCTCCTTCCACAGAATTAATCTGATTCAATTTCATTCATCACTTTCATCAGTCCATTCATTCTCTAAATATTTACATACAGAGGAACAGGGAGAGAGTACTGCAGGAGGACATCACAGTCTATTTTTTGTTTAGTGCAGGACAAAGATAAGTGAACAAATGGAATAATCTGGTTAAAATGTGACTAGAAGAGTGTCATGGGGGAAAACTCACTTGATTCCTTGAGCATTTATGAGAGAGAACACCAGAACAGGCATACTGGAGCTCTGGAGTATATGGCTGAATGAACCTTTCAGTTCATGCAAGAAAGCCTTCTGTGACTCTATAATTTGGGTTCTAGTTAATTCCTGGCACCTCCTTCAAGCCACATACGGAATTCCTTCCTAAATGAGCTATCTATCACTGCTCTGCAGGTGTTAAATGTTAAATGAAGCCCTCCTCTCCATTAATTTAGGGTTATACCCACCTACTTCAGCTCTTCTAAATAACCTTTATGTGGGGGTGGGGTACTGCCAAGGATCAAACCTAGGACCCTGCCTGTGCTAGACAAGTGTTTTGCTACATGACCAGCCCCAAATAGAATTACAAATCTAGCAAGATGTACCACCTATAAAGTTGCCCAATTTACATGACCATGAAATTTTTGAGAAGTGATTTAACTGTCAGACTTCAGAACTAATACCTGACGCAAAGGGACAAGCACAAGCAGATGAAGTAGTTATCTCTTAGAATTGCATGAATACAAAGTATTCAGATATACTACATGTCCCAAATAATCCATACTGAGCATACTATGCAAGTTATGAAGAGAAAGCTGGCTGGCGGGTGTCCCTTCTAGCACTGTTAGTTCAGCTGCTGTACCTGGGCCAAGTATACTGCACGACAAGTTTCAGTGTTTCCAGTATCTTCAACCTCGCCTCATCTTCTGGTCCATCGTACACCTCCAGATAACCAATGATGACTCGCTCCAACCTCTTCAAGTGCCGGACAGTTAGGATCTCCAGCCTAAAAATAAAAGAGAAACTGTGATCCCAGGAAGTGGAACCTGGGGTACACGACCAGAGCCACAGCCAGGACACTCACTTCTTCACAAAAGCTGGCAAGTTTCTGGCATAGGTCCTACGTAAAAGAAGGCGGTGCTCTGGCTCCATGTGGGTGAGGATCAGCTGCAGAACTTCATGGCAGTGTGTGGTGACGCAAGCTCCACCTCCCTTCCAGTGCACGGCTTTCTCCAGGACAGGGAACAAGTCCAGCAGACACAGGAGCACAGCCTAGGTGGACGGAATGGAAAGAAACTGTAGTTCATCCATTTACATTCACAACACTCTTCACTTTTCTAAGCTTTTCATGAATCTGTCTCTGGGGTGCATGTCATAGAATACTAAAAGATTCAAGTAATTAATAGATTAGTTAATTAATATTAAAAACTTCAAACTTAGCCGGGCGTGGTGGCGCACACCTGTAGTCCCAGCACTTGGGAGGCAGAGGCAGGCAGATCTCTGTGAGTTCAAGGCCAGCCTGGTCTACATAGTGAGTTCCAGGACAGCTGGGGCTACAGGGAGACCCCCGTCTCAAAAAGGCCAAAAAAAAAAAAACTTCAAACTTTCCAAACTCTGTACCTCTAGCTGACAGTCACAGGTTAATACTACCTCTTCAGAACCGTTCACTAATTTGTGAAATGCAAAAAATGGCAGAGCTCAGACCTTAACTCAGACTTTAGGAATCTCAATCTGGTATTTGTTAGATGTAGTGATAATGGTATTTATGGGTACTTTGAAACTGCTCCTACAGAGAGTCTAAGAGTCCAAGGTTGATCTCCCATGTGAAGCCACAGTGTGCAGGCCTTCCCTTTTAGCACTCCTGGGATCCTGGATTTTCTTACTACCGTTTGAAGTCTTTTTTTAACCTCCTTTTTCCACCATGTTAATAAACTTTTTCATTAATAGTAACTGGACTCTCCATGCCCAAAATACTACAGGTATGAAGGCATTAAAAAAGAACCAAGGAGTTGTTTCTGGGCATGGTGTTGCCCATTTCCCATGCCAGCCCTTGGTAGCCAGGAGGATCATTGCAAGTTCTGGGCTAGAATCAGACCCTATTTCAAAGAACCAAAAATCTCAACAAAATGAGGTGTTAAGGGATCCCTGCCTGTATAGAGCAGTTGCCTGGCTCATGTGAGGACTGAGATTCAATCCCAGCACAAAAAAGAAAAAAGTCTCTATGGTTAGCAGCTTGGTTTTGTCTGTAATACTCTCCCTTCCAAGAAACTCCTATTCATCCTTCATAAACATGAATCATATCATTCTCAAAGCTTCCTAAAACTACCCCAAACCTCAGTAGTTGCCTTATTGCTGGATACCCCTACGCTGTGTACAAATCTCATGTAATACAGCTATCGCTCTGTGTAGTACATGTACACAGATATGTGTACAGTCATAGATGTCATAAATGTCCCACCAAAAACTTTCAAGGCCGGGTGTGGTGACACATACCTTACCGCACTCCTACCTACATAGTACTGCCTTCTATGCCAGCCAGAACCCACATGTAGGATTAAGGCTGACAGTACCTGAATGAGGTGGTGCTCTGGCATGTACAGGTGGTTGAGAAGGGCGTGGTACAGGACCTGGGCTCTGTTATACTGCAACAAATCAGCAGCTGGCTGCAATCAGACAAATCACCCAGTTAAAAGTTTTTCAAGAGGAGCAAGAAGTTAATTTTTTTAATTGGAGCATGTGCACACAGGGATTCATTATGCTGCTCTCTACTTCAGCACGCATTTCGAAGGCTCCATAACACAGAAGTTTAAGAAAAGCCTCCTGGGGCTGGAGAGATGGCTCAGCAGTTAAGAGCACTAACTGCTCTTCCAGAGGACCCAGGTTTAATTCCCAGCACCCACATGGTGGCTATGAACCATCCTTAACTCCAGTTCCAGGGGAATCCGAAGCCCTCTTCTGACCTCCGCAGCCTTGCGCGACACGGGTGCACTCACATACATGCAGGCAATACACTCGTCCACATAAAATATTAAAAAAAAGAAAAGCCTCCTTCTGGAACAGTTTGTACATTTCTGTAAAATCCCTTCTGAGTTGAGTTTTCTTCTTCTGAAAGGTAACTGTTTTTCGCCTTCAGTTGTATAATGAACCATAATCTTCTATAACTACCAAGTTATTTATTGTATTACCACTGAGATAATGTTTCCCTCCAAGATGGGAGAGAAAAAAATGTATAGAGAAAAAAATATGTAAATCCATTAAAAGAAAGCTACTTAGAAAAAACACAAAGCAAAGCAAACAAATCAGGGATGAAGAAGAACCAGGAATGGCTCCATCTTCCCGACCACGCAGGTGACAAGTGAGGCCGCTTACCACGTTAATCACAATGTGATGGAGGCACTGCACACCCAGGACTTTGTTCTCGGTTTGATAATCATCTGAGATGAGCAAGGACGGGGGAAGGACCCGCTCCAGATGCTGGCTCAGCCAGGGCCGAGTGACCTGCTGCAAAGTCCATGAGAAAACATGTCTGACAGCAGGGTTGTTCTTCCAGGACTCCCTATGGGGACACATGAAAGCACACTAACTAGAACACAGCCTTAGCAAATGAAACCAGTTCAGGCTAAACAACATTTTCTCTTTTTCTTTCTTCCAACATATTTTCTTGCTCAAAAAAAAAAATACATCACACCAACTTTTGATGTTTTCACATAATTTTTATGCTTTGAATTCAAATAATTCACATAACTTACACTAACAACATATATTTAACAGTCATCCAGAACTTTAGGGAAAAAAAACAAAAATGCCCCACTCATCTATCCCCTGTGGGGACAGTGGTAGTTATGTTGGTGTTCGAATAAAATGCGCGGAGGGAGAGGAAAGGAATTTCAAACATAATTGTAAGGGACTGAACCCACCCAGGACCACAAACGCATACCTTATGAAGGAACTGCACGCACCTGACTAAACCAGTCTTCAAAGTCAGTCAGGAATAGCTTTTTCTGTCTATTTGTTTTGAGACAGGGTCTCCCTGTAGCCTCAGCTGGCCTGGAAAGCGCTATGTAGGCCAGGCTGGCCTCACAGAAATCCGCCTGCCTCTACCTTCTCAGTGCTGGGATTAAAATCATGTGCCACCACATCCGACTAAGTGTGTAACAGGGTATATCAGCTTTATATTACAAATTATAAAACAAGATTCAGGGAAGCTACTGGTCCTACTCAGAGCAATACAGAGATACACTAAACTGGGCACAGTGTTGCACTTCTGTAATCCCAATCCCAGCACTCAGAAGCTGAGGCAGGAGGATCTCTCAAGGTCAAGAACAGCACGGACTAAAGGAGTTTCAAAGCCAGCCTTGTTTATAAAGTAATCATTTCTTAAAAACATATAAAAGGCATTAGCTTCCAATTCAAGCCTTTTAACTCCAAACGTCTTTTCTCATCATTCCATGCTAAAAGATAAGATAGTTGTTTGTACTGTGCTTGCCTTGCCTGTCCAAAGCCCTGGGCTCAATCTCCAGCATAGACTGGGCATGGCAGGCAGCTCTCCGGAGGCCGAGGCAAAGAGGACCCGAAGTTCAAGGGCTACCCCAAGGCCCAGGCTAAAACCAAAACAACTAAGTGGCAAGTCAAAACTCACAGGAAGTACATTAGCTAATTGAAATGTAATTAAACTCACCCACGTATTCTAAAGGGTTTTCATGATTTTATTCCAAACATTACTTTCCTATGTAACAGACAGCCTTCTTTATTACGTAAGTTAAAGATTCCCATATTTAAATTCAAACTCAAAAGTTTGAGTCTTCTGCAAATTCGACCTGCACTTAGCATAGACTTGATTCCAAGTGAGAGGGGCAGCTTCCAATTTCCCAAGGCTGCTGTCAGGATTCCCAATTTTCCTAGGCTTTCATGGCTGGAATACAGAGGTTGAAGCCCTCGGTCGGTGGTTCTAATCTCAAACTTGCTTCTACCCGGTTACTTCCCTCCCCGCCCTTCCGGACCCCCAGCTACCCACTACGGCAGATCGTCTCGGGAAGCCTGTGCAGGGTGGCGCGCACGCGGTACTCACTTGCTCAGATGGGGTCTGAGAAGCCCCATCACCGCAGCAAACCGCCCGGTCTCGTCGTCACTTTCTCCGCACAGGAACCCCGCCACAGAGCCGCACTTGGCAACTCGGAGCAGCGCGGACAGCACCTCCTCGGCGACACACCGCGACCGCGGGCTGCTCCACGGCTGCTGCAGCCTGTGTGTGGCGGCGAAAACGTACACGGGTGCAGCCAGGGGGCGGAGGCCGGCCGCGCGGGCGGGGGCCGCCTCCACCCTCCCCAGCAGCTGGAGCATCAGCTCCCCGACCGCGGCGGCCCGCTCGGCCACGTCCGCGAGCCCACGCGCCGCAGAGGCCTCCTCCCCGGGCGGGGCGGCCCATTTCTCCAGGGCTTTCGCCAGCTGCCCCAGGAGCTCGGACACGGCGCGGGGCGGCTCACTACCCGCCCCAAAGAGCGCGTCGCACTCCGTGGCCTCCAGCAGTGCACCGAGGTCGGCCAGGGCGCCATTTCCGACGATGCCGGGCCGGGCCTCAGGGCGGGAGAGCCGCTGCAGAAGCTGGGCGACTGAGCGCTGAAGCTCGGGCGCCGAGTCCCGCGCAGGCTCCGCTCCCCGGGACGAGTCCTGCGCACGCTCCATTCCTCCGTCGCGGCGCCGCCCTCGAAAAGGAGTTTTAAAGGCAAACTGCCGAGTGGCTTGCGCCAAGGAGGACCGACACCCGCAGCTTTGCCCGGACAGCCTCCGTACCTAGCCACATCCGGCTCAGCTGACACTTGTCGCCGCAAAGCGCAAGGCCGACTTCCGCCAGTCCTGCTGCAAGGCTTCATTCCACGACAGATGGCCGTAAAGCAACGAGCGTAAAGGGTGGACCTATGAAGAATGTATTTGCATATCTAAGCTCCCGCTCAACTACCTTCGTTTCTGCTTTCCTAACTGGGCAGAGACCACGGAATGAGATCTAGGCGCCACCGCCTACTGAAGTGGGCTCGGTCCGCATGTGCACGGTGACCGGGAGTCGCCCTCTCCGAAACGTGGGGGCCGCGCACTCGGGCCTTCCCAGCGGCCTCCGTATTTTGATCCTTTTGTGGTTCATAAGCGTGATGATTGGGTGTTCACGCGCATGCGTGACATGTGCCGCCCTCAAACCTTGTTACGCACCGGCACATTACCCTTCTGACGTGAACTTGGGGGATCGTTGTCCTTCGAGGTGGAATTTGAGGCAGAGCAGAGGTTCCTGCGTTGTGGGCGACTGGTTCCGTTCTGCGCGTGCGCGATCCCGCCGCCAGGCATCTGGGCTATTTCCTCTTTGAGAATTCAGTAATTCAGACCTTTAACCCGCGGGAGGCTTGACCACTATCCCCAAGGGGGAACCTTCCGGTTCAGGGGTCCGAGTGCAGAAGATGCTGACC